CTTCTACATCTGTTTTTGCTTTGAGAGATGGCTCAGGACACTACGCATTGCACGTCAACTGTAATCGAGGAACATGTTTAAGTCAAGAACTACCAAATTCCCATCACAAGATAATGACCCCTATCACTTACGTGTTGTTTTTCGTCGAGACTTTGACCAGTTCCTGTTCAACTATTCGCAGAAACGGATAAGAGGAAAGTTTGGCATACTCTTGCTGAGCTCTAAAAGGAGGTGGAAAAGACTTCTGAAATTACATTTGAATGACAGGGGCTTGGAGAGTTCTCAATCCATCAATAAATTGCTTTACGCATCGAAATGGTGTAGTGATTAGTAAATAGGGCGCCTCACAGTATTTACCAATAACGAACACTTACAAGTTCGTCAAATGTACTTTTAATATATATCCCCTCATAAATGCCGATCTACATTTCGCATACATGGGCCTACAACTTTCACACCCAAGTACGACGCTTTTAATCCTTTCGAGATGCCAAATTGGACCAAATGGTGAGCCACAAATGCAATACTGACAGATTTTAAACTCATAGCGCTTAATTATAAGTGCAAAAGATAATGCTTACGATGACGACCGCAAAACCGTCTCCACATACGAAGTTATCTTCCAGAGCCGTTGCACCAGTGCCTCTGGGACACAACCTTCCTGCTTTTGATCCGAATGGTGGTGACATATCGATGCTATCTGTTCGTTTGTGGATGGGAGCGGTACAGATCGGTCACAGAGCGCCTCTGAGAGCAGTGCTAGCATCTGATGTGGCCAGTTCGGGTGGTATGGGTTGGTAGCCTCGATAGAGAGAGGTGTGTAGGGAAGAGGTGGCAGCGCTGAGTGTATGCTGGCCGCCTCTTTGCGCAGACTGGCCATGAGAGCGTTGCGACGAAGTTGAGCAATCGAGTGCACCAACAGTAGACGTGGACAAGTGCAGGAGGATGTATCTGTGGGTCTAATTAGATAGGAATTCGTATATCCTCAGATCTCAATCTTTATAACCTACCTCAATCAGTGAAGTCACCCCACACTTTTCCGAGGTGTACACTTTCTTTGGTCTGCGTGGATTCCTATACCTATCGGCCGGATTTAAAAGAGGATCGGATATGCTTAGCATAGGCACACACTTGGTTGTATGTTTTCACAGGTTTGACAGTAAATCAAGATGTGATCCATGCATATCTGTAAGAGCCGTGCATGATGTTCGCACCTGCATCATCCGTGCCCGCATATGTGTAACTCTTCTGTTTACGCCATCGGCATACAGCAGATGAGGCACACAGTCCGAGTAGACTACTTTGCACCGAGCTACAAATTGGTACCCATATCACCGAGATTATTGTTACTGTTTCTCGCCTATAGAATTGGTTTTCCTCACAGTTAGACACAATGGCGTACCGTTATGCCCTCACTTCGGCTGAGTAATCATCCATCGAATAGTCTGATCAAAACCATACCATTCAGTTTTCGAATAGACGCCGAACATAGCAGAATGGAAGAACATTCAGAGGAGACTATATGCGTTTGTGATCACAAAAAGTGGAATAAACCAAAGAAGCACCTATTGAACAATTACTCTGTCATCAGAGGGGACAAGCTACTGCTCTAAGTGAAATCGAACATGAACCCCACGGTACTTATTCAAACAAGATGTCAGTATAATGCGTCTGAACACGCAAAGTTAGGAAAATATTAATCCGTTGGTATGCCTCAACTTTACCTTCTAAACTGCCATGAACGGAGAGCATTGAATGTTAAATGTGTGAAATGCAGCTAGCAGAGATAAAGTAAACGAAGAATAGGCCCAGTTGTGTACGATGCTAAGTCGACTTACACACAAAATCGTGGATTTTCTCGTTCCTCCAGCCAACTATAGTGTCGACGATATTTTCCTTCCCTCACTATATTAGTTGCAGACAGCGTGAAATTCTAAAGAGCAACAAAAATCGTTGCTATAATTTAGCTTTTCACAATCAAAGTAAGCACTTTAATCTGCGTTGCTGCAATACCAAAGGACATTGCTACATTTCAAGGCTTTATGGAGCAAGATGACAATAAAAAGGAGTGCAATGTTTCATCAGACAGTCATCCATACATTCCATGATTAAATTTTAGCGACTTTAGCAATGGAGTGTTCATTTTCAAGGTTTTTTTCAAATCTGTTATCCCAGCCACCGCCAATCGTAGCGACAGACGTCGATGCTATTGC